TTTACCAAAACTGACATAAGAAGAACTAGAAAATCTGAATAGCACTATATCTGTTAAACAAATTGAATTCATAATTAACATCTCACCCATAATAAAAATTCCAGATCCCTGTGCCTTTCTTTATTGGTGAATTATATCAAATATTTGAAGGAAACAACAACACCAATCTCACTTAAACTTTCTCAGAAAAAAAAAAAAAGGATGCAAGGCTCCCTAATTCATTGTACGAAGTCAGCATAACCCTGATACCAAACACTACATTTGCATTACAAGAAAAGAGAGACTGATAGCCCTCATGAACGTAGATAAAAAACAAAAGAAACAATGACCAAAAAAAAATTAACAAAATATCAACTCCAGTTGATTCCATTGACAAAATATTGACTCCAGTAATATATGAAAAGTAATTATGATCAAGTAAGATTTATCCCAGGAATCCAAGGCTCTTTTAATATTCAAGGATCAATTAATACAATTTATTTTATTTTATTTTATTTTATTTTATTTTATTTATTTGACAGACAGAGATCACAAGTAGGCAGAGAGAGAGAGAGGAAGGGAAGCAGGCTCCCCGCTAAGCAGAGAGCCTGATGTGGGGCTAGATCCCAGGACCCTGGGATCATGACTGGAGCCAAAGGCAGAGGCTTTAACCCACTGAGCTACCCAGGCTCCCCAATTAATACAATTTTTAATAAAAGATGAAACTCATATGGTCACTTCTATAGGTGAAAAAATATATCTGACCTAATGCAATACCCATTCATAATTAAAACTCTCAGCAAACTAGGAAAAGAGAACTTCCTCAATATGATTAAGGATATTACAGGTTGAATTGTGTCTTCCAAAAAGAGGTGTTGAAATTCTAACAACCTCTACATGTGACTATATATGGAAATAAGGGTCTTTTCAGATATAACCAAGTTAAGGTGAGGTTGTCATGGTGGGTCCTAATCCAACATGATGAGTGTTCTTATAAGAAGAAGAAAGTGTCATGTGAAAACAGAGGCAGAGGCAGAAGAAAGCCATGTGATAATGGAGGCAAAGATCAGAGTGATGTATCTCTAAGTCAAGTAATGCCAGGGTTGTCAACAAATACCAGAAGCTAGAAGAGGGAAGGAAGGATTCTACTCTATAGGGAAAAGAGGAAGCATAATCCTACTGAAACCTTGATTTTATTTTATTTATTTAGATCCATTTATTTATTTGAGAGAGAGAGAGAGAGAGTGTGTGTGTGTGCACACATGCACACAAACATGTATGGGAGGAGGGGCTAGGGAGAGATTCTTAAAGCAGACTGAGCTCAGAGCCTAACATGGGGCTCAATCCCACAACCCACAATCCATGCGATCATGACCTGAGCTGAAAGCAAGAGTCAGAAGCTTAACCGACTGAGCCACCCAGGGGCCCCTAAAGCTTTGATTTGAGACTTAGAGCTTCCAGAACTTTGAAACAATACATTTCTTGTTTTCAGCCGCCCAAGTTGTGGTGTCAGCCTGTATATTAGCCCTGGTAATAATACAAAGGGCATCTATGAAAAACCTACAACTAAATTACATTCATACTGAAAGACAGAACGTTTTCCCTCCTAAGATGAGAAACAAAAATGAAGATGTCTACCCTTAACACTTGTATTTGACACTGCTAGAGTCTGAAACAATAAGGCTAGAAAAAAAGTAATAAAAGTCATAAAAATTGAGAAAAAGGAGTAAAATTGTCTTTGTTCTCAAATGGCGTGAATATATATTAGACAGCCCAAGGAATCTATAGAAAAACACTGTGACAGATAAATATATTAAATTTACCAAAAAAAGATCAATTTTCCAAAATCAATTGTATGTCTATATACTACCAGTAAAAAATTGGAAGATGACATAAATAATAAATGCAATAGCATCAGAAACATAAAACACTTAGGCAAAAATCTAATAAGAGACACTTAAGACCTCTGCATTGAAACCTGCAAAACATTGGTGAGAAGAATTAAGGAGGAGCTAAACAAAACAGACAGATATCCCATGTTCATGGATTTAAATATGATATTGTCAAGACATCAGTTTTCCCCCAAATTGACCTCTAGATTAAACTCAAATCCAATTTCTATTTAACAGGTTTTATTTTGTAGCAATTGACAAGCCAACTCTAAAGGTTATATGGACCTAGAAGGGCCAAAATAATCTTGGAAAAGAAGAAAAAGACTTACACTGCCTTATTTCATGACTTACTAGAAGTTTACAGCAGTCCAGATAGTGTGAATTGGCATAAAGGTAGAAAAAAAATAGAAGAATGTAACAGAACAGAGTGCAGAAATAAGCCAACATAGAAATTATTGACCAATTTTTACAAAAGTACCAAGGCAATTCAATGGAAAATGGAGTTTCCATTTCATTAAACAAATGATCCTGGAACATCTGGATAACCATATAGAAAACAAAACAAAACCTTAACTCCTAGCCTACACTAGATTAGGAAAAACAACTAAAAATAGATCATAGATCTATATGTAAAGCCTAAAATTTCAAAGCTTTTATTAGAAAACACACTAAATAAAACAACTTCAAAATTTCAGGGTGAGCAAAGATTTTTTTAGAGAAAACACTGAAAGTGCTAACCATAAAATTAAAAATTGATACGTTAAACTGTATCAAACCTATAAACTTCTGCTCATCATAAGACAAAATCAAGAAAATGAAAAGACCAGCCACAATCTGAGAGGAAATATTCATAATAAATATATATGACAAAAGGCTTATATCCAGAATATACAATGAGCTCCTACAAATCAATAATTAAAAAGACAATCTAACCTCTAAAATGACCAAAAGACTCGAACAGACATTTCATAAAAGAAGGTATACAAATGGTCAAAAACATAAGAAAATCAAAAGCAAACAAAAACAAAAAACAAAACAAAATCAAAAAGCCCACAGTAAGACACAACTTGTTAGATCAGTTAAGATTACTAAAATCAGACTGACTGACAGTACCAAATGTTGGTGAAATTGTAGAGCAACTGGAACTCTCATACATTGCTGGTGGGAGTATAAAACAATAAAATTCCACTCCTAAGCAGTAGCATACCAAGGTGGGGGCAGGGTGGTGTGAGTGATACGCCCCAGGTCAGGCAACAAGGGGGTGTGATATCTGCAGAGAATTTAAACACAATAATAAAACCAAGCCGACTAAACATTGGTTCACTTTATTGGTGCCATGTGATAAAATACGCCTATCTCCTGGAGTGGTCTGTTCCTGCCTCACCTTTGTGATGTTATTACTCAAGAAAAATGAGAACAAATGTCAACAAAATATGCTTTATTTCTTTATAGCCTTTATTCATTATATCTGAAGATTGAAAGCAACCCAGATGTCCATAACCAAGAGAGGAGACAGACAATTGCAGTATATTTACAAAATAGAGTGTTACTCAGCCATAAAAAAGAACAAAGCATCGTGGGTAAATGTCATAAACATGAGACTTTGGCAGGTGGAAGGTTGAATGTGATTAGGTCCTTGGTTGCGTGTTGCATCGTAGGGCTTTCTATCTTTTGCCACAGGGATTATTAACACAATGACTGACATGCAGGGGCTCTAGGGAAACACTTTCTGAGTGGAGGAATGTATGTTGGGGATGCTGGGTGGGAATCTAACCAAGGGCTGGGACTTAACTTCTCCAAACACCAAGATTCAACTAGGAGTTCTAGGAGCTGGTTGACTCAAGAATCCATAACCCCTTCCTCTCTGGGTCTTAAACAAATTCATATGCCTCCAAACCATTTTCTTCCACTTTCCCTTTCCCTGTCCCAGTTTCCCAGGGTGGTGGCCTTAGCATCAGTTAAATCTTCCTTCTCAAGCTGTTTGTCCTCAAGGCTGATAGGTTCATCCCAGATCTGACCCGGGATGTTGGAGTCTGGGATGTGGACACCTGGGGCTCAAGGCAGCCACCCAAGACCTGACAGGTAGTAGGTGTCAGTGGAGGCCTTCGGACTGTCTTTAACAAGCTCAGACTTTCCTGCCTTCCCCGGTCAACTCAGCTGCAGAACCAAAAGCTGGTGTTCAGCCCAAGGCTATTGTGTGGGCTGCTGGATGCTGTCCATAGTCCAGTCTGGGCCAGGGACAGTAAGGAAAGATCTAGAGTTTGGGTGCCAAGAGAAACTCCAGTAACCCAGCTCCTGGTCCTACATAATACCACGGATGCTTTGCAGGGGCAGAGTCTTGACTAGAACCCAAGCCTCCAGTCACCCACCCGCAGATCTTCCTGCCACACCAGGACCTCCTGAATAGGGGAGAAATGAGCAACAGTGCTGGTCACTCACTGAGCCTGCAGGCTGCCCTAATTTCTTTACTCCCAGCATCCTTAGCACACATCCCCCTAGACCCTCAGGAAGGTTCTACAGGAGAGAAAAATGAAGGAAAGAGGATGATGGAATATGAAAGAGACGTGGATGCATGCGGGATGCAGGCAGGTAGGTACCTGGACTTGAAACCTCCTCCTGGGTCTGAAATAGGTGGGAGGAGGAAGCAGCGAGAGCAGGTGCAGCGGACGCACCAGCGTTTCCAAAGAGTAAGGTAGGAAGACGGGGAAATTTGTCTAGAAGCTGTATTTGCCGGACAAACACTCTTTTAACAGAGTGTCGTGGGGTCGCTGGTCTTGGCGAGGCAGCTGGAAGGGATAAGGCTGTGAAAGGGATTGAGTCCATGCCTGATTGGACCGACGGACGGACCGACGGACGGACGGACGGATGGATGGTGGGTGGATGAATGGAGCGAGTGAGTGAGTGAGTGAGTGAGCGAGTGATTGAGTGAGTGAGTGTGCGAGCAAACCTCAGCCGTCCCTCGGTGGGAGCGACGCGCCCCGCAGGGGTCACTGCGCGCCCGGGAGCTGGCGCGGCGGGGGGGGAAGGGGGCGCAGACGCTCGGGAGGGGGGCGGGGCGGGGCGGGGCGGACTAGAGGCGGGGTTAGGGAAAGGGACGCGCGCACCAGCCAAACTTCCGGTGCCTGCAGATCGCAGAGCGGCGGTCGCACAGATAGAGGCTGCACGGGCAGAGGCTGCACGGGCCGAGGCTGCAGGGCGGACGCGCGGCCGGGCGCAGCCATGGTGAAGATCAGCTTTCAGCCTGCCGTGGCCGGCATCAAGGGCGACAAGGCCGATAAGGCGTCGGCGTCGGCCGCGGCGCCGGCCCCAGCTGCTGAGATCCTGCTGACGCCCGCTCGGGTAAGAGGGGCCGGGGGTCAGGCTGGAGTCGGAGGCAAGGCACGCCCCGCCGGCCCCGGGAACTGTTCAAGGCGCATCGGGGTCCCGGAGCCGAGACCGGAGGGAGTGAGGGTCCGGAGTGGGGCCTCCATCCCAAAGTGGGGAGGGGGCTTGGGTCCTCTCCTAAAGCGGCAGCCGAAAGCAAAAGTCCGAGAAGTAGGAGGGGTCTGAGTTGCTGGTCCCCAGGTGGGAAAGCGCTCGAGGTCTCTTCCAAAAGTGGAGGGGCCCTAAGCGGCTGGCCCCAAGACTGGGGAAGGGGCCGGTAGGAAGAAGTTGGGGGAATGCTGGTGGGGGGTATGCGTCTGTTTCTAATCAAGAGGGAGGGGCCGAGAGTCGAGCTCCGGGTGGGGGATGGGAGGAGGGTTGGACGTTGTTTCCCAAAGTAGGGAGGTGGGTCAGGATTGGTGGGGAATGGTTAGGGGCGGTGGGGTGGGGGGGAAAGAGTCCGGTGCCAACGAAGGGGGTAGGGGCCGTTGACTTCGTCCCAGACGGGGGCTGGGAGTATGCTGCTGGTCTGCACCTGAATTGGTGGACCAGAAAGTGATGAAATGGAAATAAACCAGAATTGGCCCGGCTGCATGTCTGGGATTCGAGGTTCGAGGTTCGAGGTTCGAGGTTATGAGGCCAGGCCCCCGGATCTCACCCCACCCCCTGCCGTCTGGACCTCCTTGCTCCCCTCTTCCTTCCTGTCCATGATCTCGCTCTGGCCTGCTCCCTCCACCCCGCGGCGAGGCTCCTTCACTGCCCTGGTGCCCTCGCGCATCCCGGAGGCTCTTTGTGGGGGCGGGCCTCCGTGCACCCCGCCTCCTCAGGCGTCCTCCCCCTCCTCCCCCTTCCCTCCAGCCGGGGGAAGAGAAGGCATTTCCGCCAGTGGAAAACTGTCTGAGCTGCGTGGAGTCTGACCCGGAGAGGGCAGGACGCGTGGCAGGCAGGAAGGAGAGGCGAGGGGAAAGGTGGGAGAGCTGGTCCAGCCGGGCTGTATTGTGCTCCGGCAAAGGTGTCCGCGTAGCCATCGTTTCGGCGGTCTTGGGGTGCACCAAGCGGTCGCATCTAGACTGGACTTCCAAAGTCTTTGTCCACTCCCTCTCTCTGCCCGCTGCTAGCTTCTGATGAGGCTTACTCAGCGCCAAGGTCCCTCCCCAAGTTTTGTGGCTCAGATTCAGCCTTTGCCTCAGATTCAACCCGGGTTTGGGGGGGGGGGGGCGCTGCAGGGGAAGACCTGGGCCCTGGCCAGGTAAAGAGGGGACACTTAAAAGGGGCCTCGGAGGTGGGTGTCACATCCCCAGCAAAGAGCCAGTGAGGAATGCACAGAGGAGCCACAGGCCAGCTCCCCTGCCCTGGTGTGGTCACTGCATCATGGGGGACCACCTAGGCTGGTCCATCATGCAACTCCATCTGCATCCCATGTTCAGGTGGGCTGAAGGCATTCTGTATTTGAAAACCATGGTCTGCTGCTTTAAAAGTTTGGAAGGGTCTCTTGAAACCTCCTTCCGCCCTTCACTGAGGAACCAGCTTCCTGGCCTGTCTCAGCCCAGGGAGGGAGCAGAACGATCTCACAGGAGTGGCACACTGTCCATGCCCACTGTGTGGGCCTGGATGATGCCCGCATCCCCTGGGTGTTAACTGACAGCCAGCTCCTGGCGCTGATAGCCAGCGTCCTCTCTTCCCCCTCACCCAGCGTGAAATGGAAATATCAACATCTTCCCGGTGCTGTTTGTAATGGCCAGGAGCCTGCCTCCCAAACCTTCTTAGTTGCGCAGGGTCTCCTGTTTGTCTTAATTTGGCATGGAGGAGCGCTGGGGGCCCAGGAGGAGGATTAAAATCCTGGCCCCTCTAGGACAGAACTACTTAAATCAGTAAATGATCATAGCCCCACAAGGCCCCGAATACAGTGGGAGCTTATCAGTGGGTGTGACATGTTGGTTCTGCCAATCGCCCACTGGAATTGGAGCAGGGGAAGGGGGAAGAGATTTCACTGCTCTGGGCCTGGTGTGCCCTCACGTGGCTAAGGGGCACATCCATCCCTCCCACCCTACCCCACCCCACCTTGACCTTCACTGTGTCAAGACCGAGCATTTGAGGTTTGCCCCATGCTGATGGGGATGCAGAGGAAAGTTATTAGAAGGTTTCTTCTGGCCAAGGGGAACCAAGGGCCCTCCTTGGTTACTGAACTGGACTCAAAAATCAGATCTAAAGCACCAGAAGGACTACTTGGTGAGCCAATGAGTTTGGGAATGCCCTGTGGGTATTCTAGGAAAATGTCCACCTGGGCACAGCCCCGGGGGCTGGGGTGAGGCGTGGGGGGGTGGCTGGGGTGAGGCGGTGGCTGCCAGCTCACAGCAGGGTTCCCCCCTGCTTCTGAGCAAAAAACTCCAATACAAGGAGGATTCTGTCCCCAGACCTGCTGCTGGAAGGAAGTGCCTCAGTGGCCTGGGAGGGGATGGGGGTGGGGACCCAGCTGGGCCTCCAGCTGCCCACCCTCCCCTTGGTGCTTGCCTCAGAGGTAATGAGAAGCCTGCGCTGATGGGCGACTGGCGGGGAGCCAGCCTGGAAAGTGGGCTGGCCGGGAAGCATCCTCTCAGCACGCGCTGACTTGATCCTTCCTCCCCTTTGGGGACCTCTCTTTTGGGCACCTCTCTGCCCAGCTCCGCTCTCCCCTCGATCTACCTGCGGGTGCGCGCATACACACACACATGCACATACACACACACACACCCACGCACGGGTGCGTGCACACTCAGGCAGCCAGGTGTAGGCTTGTGCAGACCGGACTGGGCTGGGGGGCCGCAAGAGGAGAAAGACACGTTCAATACCATCATCTCTCCAGCACTGGCTGGTTTTCTCCTGGGCTTTGCCTTTGATTCCTGGCTTCCTCATCGCCCCCTCCCCCAGCCTGCATACCTGGGGATTAGATTTCATTCTCCGTGTCCTGGCCTCAGGCCCTTGGCGGGAGGGAACCGGTCTCCCGGAGTGGTCGGGGGAGGGTCCCCTGCCAGCAGGGAGGGCGGAGCTGACCGGGCTTGGAGCTCCTGCCCCAGGTCCCCAGTACCCGCTGGCTCTGTGGGTGAGCTGAAAGACCCTTGTGGGAATATGATCCTGCCCCCGGTCCTGCGCTGGGATGGGGTGGGGGCTTCAGGCATCCCCTCCCTGGCCTGCCCTGGGCCTTCCCAGGGGCCCCTGGGCTTTCGAACACACCACAGTGGCTCTTCTCTTCCCTCCTCTGTTGCCTTCTCTTTTCACTCTTCTGGGCCGGTCCCTGCATGTTTCAAGGCTGTCAGCAGACTGCCGGGGAGGCTGAGTTCCTCCTGGAAAAAAAATGTTTATGGTAAAATCTTGGAGGCGCAGCCCGGCTCCCGCCCCCCCAACACACACACTTTCCAAGTTCTCTGTCCCCCAGCAGAGCTCTTCCAGCCTCCAGCTTTGCCGCTCGTCCTTTGGAGCCTCTGTTCCCTGGAGTCTCATCTTCAGTGCCAGGAAGCAAGTGGACTCAGAGCAGTGGGTGGTGTGGGAGTTTTCGGGGGCCCCCGCACACGACAGGAACGGGGTTCCATGATGCCCTGTCGGCATGTACCCAGCTCTGTGGGCTCCGATGCCCCCTCCCTGCCACCTCCACTCAGTGTGTCTGTCTGTCTGTCTCTCATACACACAACACATCAGTGACCTTGAATCTGGTCTGCAGCCCCGGAAGTGAGCTTCTGAGGGGAACTAAAGCTGAGAAGGGCCAGGCAAGAGCCCCTCCCCCTCCAGCTGTGGGCCTGGGCTGCAGCAAGTGCGTTCCTGGCTCCCCGCCAGCCTCCTCCCAGCCGCATGCAATTGTAGTTTAATCTGCTTGCAGTTAATTTGGACATTGTTACGGAGGAACTGTAGCTGGGGGGCTCCTCGGGAGCCCTGGGAGTCTGCTGAGTTAATGCTCCAGTGGCTGGGCTCCCCTTAACGGCCGTGGCCCTGGCTTTGCAAAACCATTTAATGAGCGCCATTGCAGGCCTCAGTGCAGGGGCCGGGGAGGCTGGGCCCCTCTGGGTCCTGGACGGCCGGCTCACGTGCCCCACACGAGTGCACAGCCAGACACTTTGCTCAGAAAGCCGTGTTGCCTTGGAAACAGGAGGCAGTGTTTTTCTACTTTCTAAATGGAAGCCCCCCCCCCCCCAACAGAGGCCTGGCTGCTCCCTGTGGGGGGTGGCATTTCCCTGAGTGTCCAGCATGACAGGTGAAGCAGCTGGGGTGGGGGTATGGTCTCAGGAAGCAGGCCTCTCCAGGGTCCTGGGTGAGCCAGGCCCGAATCCCCAGGTTCTGTGTTGTGTGGTGGGGGGACCCCATAAGCAGTGGGCCCTCCCTCCCGTGTGGACATTGGTGTCTGAAGTCCCTTTTGTCTCAAAGCAGGGACATCCATGGCTCCCCGTCTGCCTTCTGGCAAGGTCTAGTCCTGCTTTCCCTTCCAGCCGGCTGCTCAGCCATGAGGCCTCTGGGGTCTGGGCCCTGCCGGCAGGTGGGGTGCGCTGGGGAGGGGAGCAGGCAGCTGGGTCTCACTACGCAGGCGGGGGTGGTCAGCAGTGGTGGGATCAGGAGTTGTTAGCCCCAGACACGTGAGGGGTTTGTCCACTGCACATCTAGGAAAGGTGGGCGGTCCTCAGCCTTCCCAGTGACACCCCCCAGAGTAAGGACGCAGGGTAGTATCCAGGGACCCCTTGGAGGCCGTTTTCTCCTCAGCCTGGCTGCCTAGCCACCACCATGCCCACCCCTTCCAGGCCCTCAGAAACACCCCCTCCCCACCAGAAGCAGAAAGGCCGCCTTCAAACCAGAGGCCTTGTTTGTGAACTTCGTTGGGGCGGACTCTGAGGCTCTCTTGCTGGTGGCCCTTGACTTTGTTTCGTTTTGTTCTTTAAAAGCAGCTCTTACAAGCTTGCGTCTCCAGTTTTCCTGAATGCAGGAGCAAAAGCATGGCCAGTGTGCAGCCTCAACAGCTGTCCAGGGCCACGGCCCTGCAAAGGAGAGGCTCAACGGAGAAAGATCTGCTGTTTTATCCCGCACTTCATCCTTGACAAAGGGCTTTTGTGTTCTTTGTCTCATTTAATCCCTGCTTCTTCACATTTCCAGAGAGAAGTTGTGGGGTTGGGGTGCTGCAAATGCTCTCCTCACAGGGGAAGGGAGTCCCTGCTGGGGCCTCTCTCAACTTCTGGTCCCTCCTCAGCCCACTGCAGGTGAATGTCCCGCCCCCAGGGCAGGATCCCCCGCTGATGCAGACAGCCTGGCCTGTGTCCCAGGTCAGCCATGGTTCTTTGGGACCCACTCGGGACTCTGGAGGAGTGGAAAGGCCACCATCACATCTGCAGGAGCCCCTGGTGGGCTTGCTCCTCATTGGGCCCCCCTGTGGTAGCAGCTGTCCCCATGGGACCTTGGTTAGGGAACCTCAGGGAACCCCAGGGTGCTGAGCAGATGCCAGCCAGGTAGGTGCCTCTCTGGTCTTGAACACAGGCAGGGCTGGGGTCGTAGGAGCCCCAGCACTCAGGTAGTGAGTTCAGGGAAATGGGTTTGGCCTCCCACCCCTGCCAGGCAAGCTCCCCGGAGGGCAGACGGAGGTGTTGGGGACCAGGGTGGGCTGGGGCACCTTTCTGCCCCGTGTCTCCGTCCCGTGGTGCAGAGGCTGGGGGCTAGCTAGCTGGTCTGGTGATGGATGTGCCGGGGGGGTGGAGGGGCTCCAGGGGTTTTTGTCCTTTTCCTGGGTGTGGGTGAGTGGGAGAGCCCCAATCAGGGAGACATCTGCCCCTCTGATGGTACACCCCATTGCTCCCGGAGGCTTGGGCCTCATACCCTGTATTCTCTAAGCCAGGGGGCCTTAAGGGATTGGGACCTGAGCAGCACAACAGGCCCTGTGCCCCACCTACCCCCCAGGCTAGGCCCCCTGTGCTGTGCTGAGAGATAGGGGCCTATCTGTCCCAAGTCACTTGGATCTGAGCTGTGTCCCCAGCCCCCAGGGTAAAGGGAGAGAGAACTAATGGCACAAAGGGGGCTAAGCAGGCAGTTGGCATACATACGTGGAGAAGCTTCTGGTTCCAGGCTGGAGCTCCTTCCCTTACCCCACACTGCCTCATCTCCTGGAGGCTGGGTGTTCTTGGGACTGGACTCTTCCCTCACCCTATCTGGACCCCATGGAGGAGGGATTGAATGGGGCCAGTGGAGGCCAAGGCGGACAGGTTCTTCTACAACAGCTCTCAGGATGGGGGAGGGCAGGGCTGGGGGCACGACAGTCACAGACATGAGAGGTGGCCTGAAGGGCCTGAATCATGACACTCTCAGGCGAGTCCTCCTGGTCAAGCAGTGTTCCTAAGTCTACACACACACCGTGCTCCACCAGCCCAGACGTGTGTGGCCTGGAGTTAAGGGCCTTTTAACTTGGGGCTTCTTGGCAACCCCGAGGCTACTGTCCTGAGCCCGTCTGGCTCCCCGCAGCAGGTGTTTTCCAGGAGCCTCCTGTCCTGGCCTCTCTGGCCACGTTTCCCTCCTGGCAAAAGTGTCCCAGCTTCCGGAAGCCTCCAGACTCCACTCTTCAGGCTCCACTCCTGACAGCCTGCTTGAGGCTGCTGGCCAGTTGCCAGTGTGGGGCCGTGGCTGGCCCCCTGCAGGCTGAGCTGTGCCCACGGGGATGGTGTGCTCAGGGCTGCCCAGCTGGAGGGAGCCCAGCACAGTGCCCAGACCCCATGGGCCTCCTGCAATGCCAGTGAGCGCTCCCTGCCACGGCTTTCTCAGTGGAGCCCAGAAGCCACTTCCCATGGCCCCAGTCCCAGTCTGCCCTGTGCACTGCCACCTTTGGGTGGCTCCGAAGCCTTCCCTGGCTCCCCATGGCCCAGAGCAGCGGCCCCCAGCCTGCCAAGTGCACCCCGATTCCTGCAGGTTCCTGGGTCTGGTGCAATGATAAGGCCATGTCTGTGCTTCCCCCATTCTGTGTTTAAGAGAGTATACTGTGATTACAGCTGGGAGATAATGAAGATAATGGCCCGGGCAATCCAGCTGGGCCTGCTTGGTCCTAGGGGGTCATTCTGTGTGGCTTCCATGTGGGTCTCAGTTTGTCTTTACCTGGGAGGAGACTGGGGAGGCCCTGGCAAGGCATTCCTTCCAGATGATGCTGTGTGAGTCCCCAGCACTGCCCTTCCCCCTCCCCCACCATCATCCCCGCCACCTCCCCCCCAACTTTCCCAAGGCTCAGTCCCGGCCAGCACAGTGGAATCTCACTTTGGGAAGGGGGCGGGAGGATTCCGGGAGCTACAGGACCACCATCTGTCTGAGTCGGCCCTGCCACCCACAGGAGGAGCGGCTCCCCCAACAGCGCTACAAGAAGGGGGGCTCTGTGGGCGGTGTCTGCTACCTGTCGATGGGCATGGTCGTCCTGCTCATGGGCCTCGTGTTCGCCTCCGTCTACATCTACAGATACTTCTTCCTCGCACAGGTGAGGCCAGGCGGGAGGGAGGCATTGGGCTCCGGGAAAGGCGGTGTTTGCAGGGGACTGCAGGGAGGTGGCAGGAGGGCAGCATGGGCAGTTGAGTACCAGGGGCTTGGGGCTTATAGGGGAGGGGCAGCAAGTGACCTGCCCCATGGGTGGAAGTGGGTGCCCAGCCAAGCCCAGAAGCCCCACATCCTTCCTGTATGGGGCCATCCTGGGCATACACCAGCCCACCTGGCCCCTTGCCTGGTCCAGGAGATGGGAACGGAGCCCTGTCCTCTTGACTCCCACGGCAGCTGGTGGACTGTCCTTACTGTCTTCAGACACAGCTGCCAGGAGCACAGTTAGCAGTGGGGGCGCGGGGAGGGGAATCTGTGGCCCCTTCCTGCACTGGCTCCCTGGAATGTTTTCACCAGACACTCAGATCCAGCAGAAACTAGAACTCTGGAATCCCTTCAGAGCCAAACCCTGTGCTCAAGGATCATGCTTTAAGGACATCTGTTCCTTGGACGTTTATTTGGGTTATAAAACAAGGAAGGTAGACCATGGGTTAATGGACAGATTGCCCACCACCTCATCCTGCAAGGGTGGCCTCCACTGCCCGTGACAGCATCCCAGGTCCCCAATTAACGTGCTCTCACAGCCATTGAGGGCCTGCAGCTGGGCGGGAGAAGTGGTCACAGTCGCGGTCACAGTGACCTTGTGATCAGTCAGACCTGGGAGGTAGATGGGGCCCCCAAGGTAGATCAATTACAGCTCAAAAGAATAACGGTAAGGGCAACACACAGGGAATTCCAGAGTGACAACGGGGCTGAGAATTGCCAGGCATTTATGACCCAAGTGATCCCTTCCCACCCTCAAGCAGTGGTTTTTACCTTAGTTACTTCATTTTTTCCATGATAGAAATTACTGAAAGAGTTTTTGTATTCCATGTGACTTTGCCCTGGAAACCTCAGCTCCCGCACACCTGCCGACTTCCCTTCCCCTTTGTCACCCCTTTCCCCATCATCCCCCTCCACGGCCAGCTCCCCATATGTTCCTGTTTCTCGCTCCCCTGCCCATGGGCCCTTCCTGAGGGCTCCTGGTCCCCTCTGTTCCCAGCTCCAACCTGTGCTCTCCTGGGGCTCCTCACCCCACCCCATTGGCTGGGGAATGGGGGCGCCTTGGAACAGCCTCCGAGTCTGTGCCCTGGACAGTATGATTCATGTGTGATGATTCACACACACACACACACCCAGGGAGAGCTCACATGAAAAAGGAGAAAGGGCAGTTCTGCTGATGGCAGGCCAGTAGTCCCTGCACAGATGGGCGGGGGGGGATGGCTGGAGAGGGACAGGTGGGCACAAAGGTCCACGGGCTCAGCCGCTTGGCCGCAGTCATGGCACATGCCGCCCCACCCTTGATGGGGCGTGGTGGGGGGGCGCGATTCGGCTGGCTGTTCACATAGGGGCACAGTGTTTGCCAGGACTGCTCAAGGGGCACGGGGTCCAGGGAAGGTGATGGGACTGGTGTGAGGCTGGCTGCCTCTCGGTAATTCTGGCTCCTGAGCGCCCCACAGTTCAATCCGGGGCTCCTGTGTTTGCCCCTGAGAGCCAAGGAACCGGTCTACCTAGGACACAGCAGAGCAGGCTCACCCTTCCTCTCCTTGACTCCCCGTGTTTCTCAGTGTCTCCATCTGTGAAATGGATCTCATTGTCCCACCCTTGCCATTTGCTGAGGCCCTGGGCTCGTTGGTGTGGTGGGGTCGGCAGGGTAGAAAGGGTGGCTGCATCAAGGGTGCCGTGTGACCGGTCTGTCTGCCTCTCCCCTACTCAGCTGGCCCGAGACAACTTCTTCCACTGCGGGGTTCTCTACGAGGACTCCCTGTCCTCCCAGGCCCGCACACGGATGGAGCTGGAGGAGGACGTGAAGATCTACCTCGAAGAGAACTATGAGCGCATCAACGTGCCCGTGCCCCAGTTTGGTGGCGGGGACCCCGCAGACATCATTCATGACTTCCAGCGGGTGAGGCCGGCCGGGGCTGGGGCAGCAGTGGTGGAAGGGTGTCCTGATGACCCAGAGCCCCCCTTCTGCCAAGGGTCATGAGAAAGAAGAATGGGAGCAAGAGGAGAAAGCCAATGTCCCTAGTACCTCCTTTGAGTAGGTCCTGTGTGATGGCAGGCGCTGCGGGTTAGGTTGTGCAGGATTTTAAAGACCCCACTTTTGTTCGAGAGGCGTGTTTACCACTGGACATGAACTAGCCACGGTGGGTTTTGTCCTCGGCCACCTGACCGCTGCAGACACTGCCGTCACGGGCTACACCAGTGTTCCCTTTAACAGGGTGTTTGTGTTGATGTTTTCCAGAGGCGTAGCGTGCCTCCTGTCAAGGGCTTTAAGCGTACAGCTTAATGGCTACATGGAATGCCCCCCAGAGCAAGATTTGGATTTGTGCCAGCACCCCAGAAGGTTCCCTTGTGCCCCGCCCCCCAGCCCATACCCCCTCCCCAGACATAACCATCTTGTGCTTCTTTTTTTTTTTTTTTTAAGATTTATTTATTTATTTGGGTGAGAGCACCAGCAGGGATCAGGGGGAGGGGCAGTGGGAGAGGGAGAAGCACACCCCCCACAGAGCAGGGAGCCCGCAGATGCTTCACCCACCCTTCTCACTCCTGTTGCCAGTGAAAGTCTTGAGGCTGGTGAGACACGGGCTCTCCAGCTGTTTGTCCCCACCACCCCCGTACTTGCCTCCCAGAGCTTCCTAGGAATTCTCCAGAACAATCCCTTTGCTCTATGTTCTGGACATTCTTGTTGCTGGAGCCCATGGGGAGCCAGGGATGGAGCGCCTCTGGCTGAGGGTCCGGGCTGTCCGCAGGGGTGATAGGACCTCACGGGGTGATGAAAGGCACTCATGGACCATTACTGTCTTCCACAAACCCCAGTTCTGGGACCCCAGGAGATGAGCCCTTCTGACAGCTGAGGCGCCAGGCACTTGGTGTTTCTCATGTAGCGCAGGGGAGCTCCCGCAGACACGGGCGAGGCGGGGAGTGAGCATCGGGGGCATCTCCCACTGGCACAGTGGGCTGGTACCTCGGCTGGCCGGGGGCCTCCCAGCCCACCAGAGCCAGGCCCTTGCCTGCAGAGCCTGACCTGGCCGCTCTTCCCACCCAGGGGCTCACCGCCTACCATGACATCTCCCTGGACAAGTGCTATGTTATCGAGCTCAACACCACCATTGTGCTGCCCCCCCCGAAACTTCTGGGAGCTCCTCATGAATGTGAAGGTGAGCGGGAGCTCTCATGGCACCTTGCCACACTCCCCTGTGGACGCCAGGCCTGGGGCAAGGGAGGTTCCTGCGGAGGGGAGGGCTTGCTGCCAGCTGGGCCCGGCACCCCAGATAAGCCCGTGCCCCTCCATCTTCCTTCTCCTACATCCCAAGTCAATGCCTCTCCTTTCCACTCTTTGCCTCCCTCTCTCTCTCGTGAAGGGCCCCGAGACCAGCTTCCTCAGCCCCCTAAGTCATGCCCCACTTTGGCAGTACAGAGAACCCCCACGTGCAGCACTGGGGCACAACCAGAAGCCACCTGGGAGTGTCCAGAGGGCGAGCCATGAGGGCCGTGGATGGGGACGTGGGCGGTGTGGCTGGGCATTTCAGGTGGCGGGGGACTCTGAGGGAGCAGGACGGTAGGCAGGGGAGCTGGAGAGCCCTGTGTGCTGGCCCGGCGCTGAGCCCACTCCCTCCGCAGAGGGGGACCTACCTCCCGCAGACGTACATCATCCAGGAGGAGATGGTGGTGACAGAGCACGTCAGCGACAAGGAGGCCCTGGGCTCCTTCATCTACCACCTGTGCAACGGGAAGGACACCTACCGGCTGCGGCGCCGGGCTACCCGGAGGCGTGAGTGGCAGCTCCTCCCATCCGGGCCCCTGCCCTGAGCTTTAGGCCACAGCTGTGGGCCCACCGTGCCTGGCCAGGGGGCTGGAGCCCAGCTGTCGGGGAGCTCAGAGCAGAGCAGTACTAGCGGCTGATGGTAACTCAGCACTTCCCCTGGGCCAGGCCCCGGTTCACGCTCCTTACGTCCTGCAGGACGTAAGGAGCATGTCAGTTGCTGTCATCCTCATAGTTATTTTTGGTGACCCGTGAAAGATGAGGCAGCGGAGGGACAGAGAGGTTAAGGAACACCCCTGAGGTCACACAGCAGGGAAGGGGGCAGAGCTGGGCCGCCGGACTCCAGCTCTCGAGCTCTCTCACCCCTTCAGTGCACAGCCCCTGGGTGAGTCTGGGTGTCCTCACACGGGCCACCTATTCCTCCCTGCCCCCAGGCTCCGGAGGTCCCCCTCGGGTTCCAAGGCTAGTGACGTCTGTGGCCCAGCCAGCTCTGGGCAGGGGTACAGTCCTCACTGAGCTTCTCTCTTCTCTCCCAGGGATCAACAAGCGAGGGGCCAAGAACTGCAATGCCATCCGCCACTTCGAGAACACCTTCGTGGTGGAGACCCTCATCTGCGGGGTGGTGTGAGGGCCTCCCCTTCCTGGCCCCACCCCTGCCCTCGTCCTTGTTTCTCTTCTGGCCACTCTGGCCCTCCTCCTTCCCCTCGCTTAGCTTGTACTTTGGACACCTTTCCATAGACGTGACGTGTCTCCTGGTTCCTTTCCAGCCCTGCCCGCCTCCCTGTACCAGAGCCGTGACCTCTCAAGGCCCCACCTCTTCTGAGCTCCCAGGTTTGGGGGACAGTAGGGTGGCACGGGATGGTTTCCATGACCACCGTTCTGCAGGCGGGTCCGCTAGGTCCGGCCCAGAGCTGCACTGGCAGCCCAGGAGATGGGCTGGATGGAGAGGCTGGGCTCATGGGGGACCTGGGCGAGGGGACAGGGGAGGGATGTGGTGCGGGGTTCAGAAATGTCTGCACAGTTGGGGAAGTCCCCAGAAGCTTGTTGCTTGGACAGTCCTGTGTCCAAATTCCCAGATCTTCGATGAGGATGGGGGC